GTATTCCTTGTTGAATAGTCTTTTTCCCGAAGTACCCAAGCAGTGCATCTGCAAAGGTCCCAACATCTCAAGAGACATTCAACAAATTTTGTGTAACAGCGGAGCAGGCCAGCAATATATGTTATGGATCCGAAGTCAGGTCTGTTTTCCAGCAGTTATGGGTTACAAGTTACAAGTACTTACTACTGTAGCTCTGTCTTTCTTTTGTTTCGTTTTCCTACGAGCAGTGGCACTAAGGGCATTGCTCCACTCGTCACTACTTGCACAAAAGACACAACATATGGCGGCGTATGGTTCCATGTTCTAGCAAAAGATTCATTCCTCTTTTTCTTTTGTTTCCTTTTCCTACGAGCAGTGGCCCTAAGGGCCTTGCTCCACTTGTAACCACTTGCATAAAAGACAAAACATATGGCGGCATAAGATTCCATGTTCTAGCAGAAGATACATTCTAGTTTTGCACATTTGCCGAGTAGTGGAGGGAAACCCTAAAAAGCACGTGGTGAGTTGGCTTGCTACTGCCCAGAAACTCGTGTGCTCAGTGGTCCCATAACTGCTGAAACACGGACCTTGATGTGAATCAACAACATATATACTTGGTGTGCCATGACCCTAGCATGGCTATGAGCATTGCCTCATTCATGGTGAGGAGGCCCTCGCTAATTATCTGCAGGGGCCTCTCGGATAACACGCAGGAGTTTTCTTATAAATGTTAAGGAGCTATTTGTTTGCTCTCTCTCTCTCTCTCTCTCTCTCTCTCTCTCTCTCTCTCTCTCTCTCTCTCTCTCTCTCTCTCNTCTCTCTCTCTCTCTCTCTCTCTCTCTCTCTCTCTCTCTCTCTCTCTCTCTCTCTCTCTCTCTCTCTCTCTCTCTCTCTCTCTCGTGCACGCGCGCGTTCTCACACATCACAACCGTTTTGTTTTGTTTTTTTTTTTCCGCGCATCGGTGACCAGCGCACTGCACCGCGCGCACCGCACCGCATGGCGCACCGCACACTTGCGCCACAGGTACGATTATAATCATAGAAGAAGAAACAAACAGAGTCTACAAACCCCAACTAATCCAACACTCTTCTCAATAGGTGGACAAAAGAGGAACCACAACTATCTAACACCCTCTTCAAACCACCCTGGACCTCAATCTTCACCACAAGACCGGTCAAGGTAGCCAGTCTAAGATGGTTAATAGTCTTCAGAGCAGCACCAGTTAAGCAATGGTTGGCACGCAGATGCAACCAAGAAAACAAATCGGAACAAGACTCCTGGTGTAAAGTCTGCAACACCCAACCCATAGAATCCCTAAATCATTGCTTCATAGATTGGCCAAAAGCCAAATCTGCAAGCAATCGAAATTTCTTGGAACAGAATCACAAACCTACCTGTTTTAATTAATCCCGCCACCCTATTCCTCGAACTCAAACAATCCCCTCCACTCAAGGGTTTCAAAGCCTTCCTCTCTTCACTCATTAAGAAAAGCACTCTCTGGACCATATGGAGAAACACATGTGATAGCACCCTTGATGACCGCCTCACTTCCCCAAAGAACCCCACCATAGTCATAAAACAACTAATGGACACAAAAATCCACGCCCTTTGGACAAAACAACTAAACCAACTCCCTACCGACCCCAATAAAAAAGCGGAAAAAAAAAAAAAAGTTCATCTCTCTCAAACTAGGAAAAGGACAGCTAGGCAAAATAAATAATGACAGACTCACCCTCAAGAACTGGATATGCATACTAACAACTCCTGACCAGCTACCACCACCAATATCACAGCCACTACTAATATAGTACCAACCTCATAACACCCAACCATCGTCATAACAGCAACCTCCCCACGCCCGCCCTTTCACACAACTCCTACAACCATCCCTCCTCCATAACCTAAAAACTTCCGAGTAATCCCAAACCAACTAACACACCATTCTTCCCACAATTAGCACCTATCTAAATTGCCTTATCCCCGTCAGCCCCCCTCCTATCCCACCAACCCCAAATACAGTCTACCCCAGGCTTCAATTAGAACACCTATCAACAGCTGATACATTCAAGGAACAACCCCCGAGAGAAGAATAGTGTCAAAAAGTCTAAAGCCAGGTCTTAGGGTTCTAACCTTAGACAACATCGTCAATCAAAATTGCACACAGGGAGTCTGGAAGTAGAGCAAACGGATAAGCCTCATATACTGTACTAGCAAAGCTTAGACGTCTCCTAGGTTAAATCAACAGAGAAATACAGACTGAAACAAGACATGATAGTTCCAGCAATTACAAGCATCATACAGCTATAGTCACCAAGGTCAATAACAGCCTAGAACAGGCTAACTTAGGCAGGGGTGAAGATTGGTACATCCTTCTACAAGGACGTAATCAATGTCGTCTTCAGGGCCTCCACGCCATAAGGGGGAGGAGCGTGAGTGGGTAAATGTTGTACTTTTTGGACTTGCCTGGGGAATAGGAACCGGACTGATGCTCCCCAGAATGGAAAAGCAGCCAGACCGTAAGGTCCTGTTTTTGGAGGGGGGGAAAAAAAAAAAAAAAAAAAAACGAGGGGGAGGAGTTCGAACGGGAAAGGCACGATCACGATGAGCGGAGGAGGAAGAGCACCACCGAGAGACTTGCAAGACAGCGGATGCTAGCGGAGGGAGGACGAGACGCAACACATGTAGAGGGGGATCACTCAAAGGAGGAAGACAGCGCACAAGGGGGAGATGGGCGAGCACACAAAGGAAAGAACGCACAAGGGGAACAAAGTACGAGGAACAGTGCACGAGAGAGCAACGTAGGCGGAACAACACACAAGGGGAGAGACGTACAAGGGAAACACAAGATGAATGGGAGGGAACAATTATTGAAAGAAGATACATGACGGAGAACGAGAGGGAAAACATACGAGGGGGATCGAAGTGTGAGGGAACGCACGTGAGAGGAAGAGCATGGACATGGAGGGAGCCATGAGGAAGGAGGGTACAGGAGTAAAGTCGCAGTCGGGAGTGCAGTCACGTACGAAGAAAAGGACGCACGGTGTCTTCGCTCTGTATCGTCACCCCAATTCATCCAACGGTCAGGCGACAAGCTGCCTAGTGCGCGCAAGAGTGTGTGTTGTCATATTCACTATACACTAAAAAAAAGGATGATTGTGCAAAACTGTTTCGTCGGACTTTCACCGACTCATCAGGAGGTTGAACCCCGACAGTCTTCCCAGGATGCATTGGACGGATGGATAAGGACTCGCCACATCGCCCAGAGTTAGCAATACCCTTGACTGATGGATAAGGACTCGCCACATCGCCCAGAGTTAGCAATACCCCTGAGAAACGTGGTCGACTTTACTCACACCAACCTTGCAATCCTAGCAGATTGTCGGTCCAATCCCTTGACAAGAACGGAGGTAAGTTTGAGAAACTAATCTGACACAGGCATAAAACCCACTCTACACACTCCCTCAGCCATGGACAGAGTGTGTGTGTGCTGTCTCTTATACACATCTAGATGTGTATAAGAGACAGACAGTTGAGGGCCTGGGCCCTTTACAGTTGGGCACGGCCTGAG